CAACAACAACTCTTTTGGGGGTGGGGTCATGGAAATAAGGTGGATGGAACCCTCATGTGGGGATTGGTCAGTTTTGTCATTCCACTGGACTTAACACAAGCCCTCCTAGAGGCAGAAGCGGGAGGATGTCACTGCTATCAAGACAGAGAGCAGCCAGGAGTGGAGGGCTTCCCTGGACCTAAGATCCCTGCGCTGCGACCATGGCAGAGATGGCGGCAGGCTAATCAAGAGACTGGCACGAGACAAAGTGGTTGGCCTGCCCGCCCGCGGAGTAAGAAAGCTGAGTGACTCTGGGCAGGAGGCTGCTGGTGTAGTGCAGCGCACCTACGGACAGAGCTGGAAGAGTTTTAGAGCACCTGCCCAAGCAGGGCACAGGCCAGGCCAAGAGACCAAGGGCCAGAGAAAGGCATACCCTTGGGCATGGCCGAGAGGAGGCTGTCCTGATGGAAGAATTGTACTGACAGCTTTCTTGAACCTAAATTGTAACATGTTACTTCCCTAATAAACCCCGTAATCGTAAGTACTGTCTGTGTGGCACTGCATAGAATTAATGAACCCAGCAGAGTAGTAGGAGCTCTGGTAGCACAGTGCCTAAGGCACTTGACTACTAACCAGAAGGCTGGTGGTTCAAGCCCACCAGCCACTCCTTGGAAGGAAGGCTGGGTAATCTACTTCAGCATTGGTAAAAAGGATGGAGGTGGCGGGATGTCTGGCCTCACAGGAATCAGCTTTGGACCGTTGGTGTCAATCCTTCACTCTCCCCCTTGTGAAGCTAGAGGAGGTCAGAGGATGCCACCCCCATGTTCTTTCTGTAATCACTCATGAGTGACATGTCCCTGAAACAATAAACTGTGTGAGACCAAACGGTCAACATTTACCCAAAAGCAAAGGTGAGAAGGCAAGGAGGCAAGGGACCCTAGATCAATGGAAACGCAACAAAGAGAATAGAAAACAACGAGACTGCTGACATGCTGTGAAACTGTAACCCATGTCTAAACAGGAACCTAATGTACTGGGGAAACTTGCACCAAAAACACGGTAAGATATGAGAAAACCAGGATGTTAAAAATTGCAGCACAAGCCCTTATCTGAAAAAAACGCTCCAGGGACAACATCTGGAAGGCACCCCAATGTGACCATCGCTATCTGTGTGGGGAGAACCACAGGCAGTTTTTACTTTGCTTATCTGCGTGCTCCTCGTCTCCTACGACAAACATGACTTGCTTCCTTGCCTCTTAAAAGGGCTCAAAGCCCCTGGGAAGAGTGACAGAGCAGCCGCCAAAAAAGGAGACAGCCCAAAGTCATGAGGAAGAATCTTTTCACTCCTCCTCTGTGCTCCTACACAAACGCTTTCAACCAACACTAGGAAGCCTTTTTGCCTCCACTGATCTGCAAAATGGGAACACAACCCCTCTTCAAGCAAGCAGGGTGAAACACCATCCTTCCAATGCCTGTCAGAAACACAGACTCTCCACACTGGTCTGAGGAGGTTTCTGGGCCGTGGACACTAACATATTATCCTGAATTATGCGGCTGGCACCAGGGGCCAGAGGAGAGTGTGAACCGAGCACAGGGTGCTGAATCTCCCCGAGGCCTGGAAGGGCCCCTCAGCCCCCTCCTGAACTCCCAAACGTACTAAATAGCGACAGCTACTTAGACAGAGGGGAGCTCTGGTAGCGTAGCACCTAAGGCACTTGACTGTAAACCAGAAGGCTGGCGGTTCAAACTCACCAGCCACTCCCCAGAAAGAGGGTTGAGCAATCTACTTCCGTAGTGATACTGCCTAGAAACCCAAGATGGGGTTGCTATGAGTCGGGTCCGACTCGACGGCAATGGTTGCGTTTGGTTACTTAGACGGAGCAGACGTCTGTTCTCACAGGGACAGGTGTACGCTGGTGTATGCATGCCTGAACACACACACACATGCCCAGGCATGCTTCACGCAAGTTTCCCTGAAGACGGGTCAAGTCGCAATAATAGTGATTGGCATCTGTTGGATGTCTTCATGACATAACCTGATTTAATCTTTCCCCAAAGCGATCCAAAATCATCCCCTTATTACAGACTGGAAAACTGAGGCTGAGAACCGAAGTAACTTGCCAGGGTAACGACAGGAATCTGAAAGTGTCCACAGGACGCTACAGTCAATGCCCTTAAAGTGATTTTCTAGGAGACAGGGACAAGCCTATCCAAGCCTCGTCAGAGCCCTTGTTTTCTATTGGGTACCAATGGGCACTCAGAGAGGCTGCGTTTACAGAGAAGCCCCTCAGCCAGCTCATGCGTGGCCATCGTGGCCCTCATTGGTGTACAGTCATTCAGGAATTCTCCTCGCCCTGGGCCTCGCCTGAAAGCTGAGCCCACGGGCTTTCCTGCCTCCAAGCACTGATGTCACAGGGAGGCCAGGGCGAGGGACTACTACCTCCACCTCCTTCAGCTGCCAGAGACAATGGCCAGGTGCAGTCACGTGAGCCCAGCCAGCCTCCATATGGCTCCCAAGTGTTAGGTAACACGCCTCTTATTTGAGCGCCAGTAACTGTCAGCAATGCTGCTCTCAGAATGTCCTCAGGTTCTACCAGAGCAGGGAGAACTCAGCAAAACGGGCAGCCCAGAGATAAGGCAGGAGAACCTTCTCTCTCACCTGATAACTCAGTTAGGAGACACACCTCCTTTGGCAGAAGTAAGATCAGAGGCAGGACTCAAGGCCAGCCTTAGCGGGGCTAGGACCTAGCCCCCAGAGTCCACTTTGCCCCAGATCTTGTGGGGACAGGGCTAAGGCTGAGAACTGTGCAGTCAAGTCGGGGACCAAGAACTCTAACGGGGGGTGCCTCCAATCCTTCCTGGATGAGGATGGTGCATCCCTAGTAACTGACAGCAACGAATGTTACATACCAGTCCAGCCAAATGCCAACACGTCACCTCATCTAGTGTTCACAATTGTCTCTTAAAAGGACCACTTTGCTTCCCACTTTACAGATAAGGATACTGAGGTTCTGAGTGACCCGCCCAGCATCACGCTGTCAGTGAGGGGGAGATCTAGGCTCTGACCCAGGCTGTCTGACACTGGGGCCAGGGTTCTTCATTTTTTTAATTCAGAGGAAACGCACCTATGTTAAGGTGAGCTTGGGGGAGTCTGACACTGACGCACACATACCCCAATCAACACCAAGTACACGGCTCCCACCCTCCAAGGTTCCCATGCCCCCTTTTCCAATTCACCCCCACCCACTTCCAGAGGCAAATCAAGTTCTGCTTTCGACCACCCACAGCCTGGGTTGTCCAGATCACCCAATCAGAAAGCTGTGTGCCCCTGGTGGCTCTCTGTTCTGCAAAGCCACCCACCAGTTTCCCCGGTCCCTTCCTCTCTGTACCTGGCCCTGGCCAGGGGCACCCAGAAGCACTGCTTGTGCTCTCAAGAGCACCCAGCTCCTGCTTCCAGACCCATCACCTTGGCTTATCACAAAGGAGAAGAACACATCTAAAATTTCCAGGATGGGGCCAGCGATAAGTGAATTTAGCCACAGGCCAAATGGGAACAAGTGATGAGCCTGCATTTCTCAGAGACCCACTGGGACAGGCTTCCTGATTTACAAGCAAGTGGGAAACGCTTCAGGAATTCCAAAGGTCAGGAAGAAAAGGGAAACAGGGCCCAGGCTTTTGTTCTCCCCTGGCCTGCCTGGAAAAGCTGAATGAAAGGCAGGGTAGACTGCTGGGTTTTTTTAATTAAACAGCCTTGGGTCTGGGGATAGGACAGGTTGAAGTTTCACTGATCTGCACCAATGGAACCCGGTAACATTTGGGAGAAAACAGACTCTGGGAAGAGTTGCAGGAATTCAAACGGGCCACAACGCGACCCCAAGAACACTTGTCTTCATCAATGTTTTCCTAAAAGTGTTGCCAAAGCTGATGACAGACTTACCTTTTCAGAATCTAATCAAACAGTAAGAAGCTGTGGTGGTGTAGTGCCTAAGGCATCAGACTGCTAACTAGAAGGCTGGCAGTTCAAATCCACCAGCCAGACTAGTAGTGGGTTGTTTTTTTTGTTGTTGTTGTTTTTAAGAAAAAGAAAAAAAACCTAATATAGACTGAAATCTCTCTCCTACACCATGACACCAAATGACTTCTTAAAACAAAAACAGCAATGTTCTTGGAATTTTTTCTTCATAGACATTTTTAGGTAGAGTCTATTTAAAACACTTTCTGGATTTGCCAAAGCCAACAGCCCCTCCTCCTTCCTGGGCCACAAATGGAGCTGACTCCCATTAGCTAATAGGTCTATGCTCAACTATGACAACTTCTTAGTAGGGGAGCGTAAGGGGCTGATCTGCAGAGAACATCAGGATGTTTCCTTTTGCTTCCACAGCTATGAATCATAGTGACACTCAATTCTAATACGCTCCCTGCAGTTTCTGAGTTAAAAACAGAATGCAGTGGTAGGAGCCAAACACCTACACAGTGATAGGCTGTCAGGCAGGCAGGCCGGCCCTGCAGAATTCAGTAACAGGAAAGGATGTGGTCAGATGCAGGGCTGACAAGTGGAACTTCTACCAGGACCCTGTCTAAGCCATATGCTTCAAAAAATAAAATTAAATTAAAAAACAGGACCACGGTGCCTCACCCCCTGCCCATTTCCTAACAAAGTGACTTTCAAATCCACTTCATGTGAATGTACTAAACTGACTGCACTTGCTATGGCCAACTGAAAAACTCCAAACTCCAAAACTGACGTTCTAACCTAGAAGGAAACTTTACAAGTCACCACCGATGCCCGCTGACCCAACCCACACTTCCTGTAACCTGACACGCTCCGTTACAGCTTTGGGCCTCCCAAAAGAAAGGCACCTTTTGCCTTTCATCGCTTAAACCACAGTAAGCACCTAAGTTTGAAGTCAGCGGCCCTATCTATGCCATGTGGATGAGAATCATTCAACTTCAAATTCCCTTCATCAACTCCACTGTTCAGGAGTCAAACCCCAACGGATGACAAAAAGACCTGAACAAGGAAATACCAGGGGCAGGCCTGCAAAGTACCCTCCCACTGCAACCTTACAATCCGTTTACACAAGCTTAACTTTCTAGATTTCTACAGCATAGTGCTTTCCTTTCCTTCCAGGAGGGGGTAACTTACATCTGCAACATGATTTGGTTCAAAAAGATGCCGTCCACTAAATCCATGTACATGGTCAGGTTGTCCTGGCTGCCGCTTTCGAACGGGCCAAAAGTTTTCACCTGCGGGGAGGGGGTCGCGAAGAAGGCAGGAAGTCAGCCACATGTAGACAAACGGTCAGAAGCTGTCGCGGTCAAAGACCGGCTGAGCCCTGTGTATAGGGGCCACCCACGCCCGCCCACCCCCCAGAGGGCACCAATCCCCCTGCTCCCAGGCCTCCTTCCTCCCCCCACCAGGCAACAGACGCCAGACAGCAGCAGGCAAACTTTTCTCCAGCGTCTCAGACGGAAAAAAAAACAAAACTAAGAAGACTTTTCCATTTATTTCCTCACGTCTCAACTCCATCGGAAAGCATTGCGCCCACCCTAGTCTGTTCACGCTCCCACTCGGCGCTCCCTAATTCCCACGGGTCACCGTCAGCGACCCCGCCGGTCTCAGGGGCTCAGAATCTACACGGAGTCATCAGGTCTAGGGAGTGGAGTCACCTTGCGGAGCGGTCAAGCCCCGGGGGCTGAGGGAGATGACCGCTCGGCCCCGGTAGCTCCAGGGCCGCCAGCCCAGCCCCGGCGGAAACAGGTGTACCCGTTCGGCCCCAGGCCGGGCCAGGAGCGCGGCGGGCTCCAGACTTGGAAACGCCTTCGGACTCCGCAGCGCGGACCGGACCCCGGCCGGGAGCCACTTGCTGCGTCCCCCGCGCCCCCGTGGCTGCCGGAAGCCCTGGCAGGGTCGAGTCTCCGGGAAGCCCAAGCCCGCGGGCGAGGAACCGGTGCAGCGACAAAGGGACAGGGAGCCCGGCCACTCACCCAGGTCACCAGCGGGCTCTGCAGGAAGAGCTCCATGAGCTCCGACACGGTCACGTCCATGCTGAGGCCGCTTGGGCCCCGAGTCCCGTCCCCGCGCCGCGGCACAAAGCGGCCCCAGCGGCGGGCGCGGGGCTGCGGCGGCTCTCGCCCGGG